AAAAAAAAACTTCCCCCCAAAAAGAAAGGCTACCAACATGGAGAAATAAACCACAATCTCAGATAAAGACTTGATACATGGAAATGAACCATGCTTTCAGATAAAGACTGTCCTGCAGGGTTGTTTATCTCCAGGGCGGTGCAGAGGTGACGTCATTCCAGCTGGAATCTCAAGCAGGCCTCAGCGGAACTTGGTGAGCTGGCTCCAACAAGTTCGGTCCTGCGAGAGCCAAAGGCTTGGAACAGCCCAAGAAATCCAGGCGGAGTTGAGGGAACTTTCTCCCTGGATCTAGAAGTGCGAAAGCGCTGGAGATCGAGGTGGCCCTGCGAGGGTCAGGTGAACGCCAAGCCGATGGCGGTGCCCCCCAGCCCCTTTCCTTGCCTCCTGCACACAGGCTGAGTCACTGCCAGGGAGCGCAGGCCTGCAGACAGCAAAGCACAGCCTCGGGAGCACAGCTAGGACTTCATGTGCACCGCTCACTGCCGGCCCAGCCAGGAGCACCGGCCCAGGGCACCAGCGTCCGGATGGCAGGCACAGTCCTGTGGCCAGGAGTGTCACCTGGCCAGATAAACGGTCCAGGAAAGAGGACAAGGCAGCCGGCGGCCACAGAGGAGGAGGTGCTGCACCCCGGTAGTGGCCGAGGAAAAGCTTGCCGTGCCTCGAGGAGCCCTTCTGCTCTCAGCCACACTGCCACACCCAAGGTGGTGCGTAATGACAGGGAGACAGCAGGGCAGCTGGAAAGTGCCAGCGGGACAGATTACACCAGCAACTGTGCCCCGCTGTCCCCAAAGAAACACTTGTGGGTGTGCAAAGGCTTCAGCAGCAATCAGAAAAGCTGTGTGCATCCTCTGCAGCGAGACGGGTGCCTGTGCTGCCGCAGTCATGCCAGGGGCACTGGCCGGCACCGGAATGCACAACTGCCCCTTCGAATGTCAACAGGGCTGACTCAAAAATGCAAGGCAAGCCAGGGGCGGGAGGACCCCAAGTCTGAGGTCAGACTGAGCAATTTAGCAAGAAGAAAAGCAAGCTTAGAAAACAAAAACAACGCTGAAGGGTGTGTGTAGCATACAGTTCAGAATGAGGGAGCATGGGTCAGGATAGGCTCTAGGGAGCCACCGACAACGCGGTAAAACTACAAAGAAGTCCAAGTGTGGTGGCCTGTGTGAGGTTTTTCGATGGCACAGCAAAGAGTTAGGAAAGATAAGAGGCCTTTATTAACTCCAAAGACTTGGGGAGGTTGAGGGCAGATGGGAGAGATCTTTGGACCGGAGGCAAAGAAAGCTGGGACTTTGTGGACTTTGGCTGGGGTGGAATTTGAGGGGCGGTTTCAATTACATGGAAGGAGCTGAGTGGGGTCTCCTCTGTGTTAGCAGGAAAGATGAGAGGAAACTGTATCCAGGGTTGGGTTAAGGGAGAAAGAGGAAGTGGTCATTGGGAAGATAAACTGTTGTCTTGGGATTCAGTCATGTTGAATCAGGACTATTATAATTTAGCATCTTGTACTCAGGCAGAAACCTACCAGCATGCACCTGTAATGCCAGCACTCAGGAGGCTGAGACAGGAGGGCCTCCGCAGGAGGATCACCAGTGAGTTCAAGGCCAGCTGGGGCTACATAGTGAGACCCTATCTCAAAACAAAACTACAGAAAAAAGCAAGACACTCAGCAGACTAAAGCGCCTGCTTAGGCAGAGTGCAGGGGCTGGGGCTCAATCCCTGGCATGCTGTGCTGCCCTGCCCCTGGGGCGCACTGAGGCTCAAATGGTGGCCTGTGCCTGTAATCCCAGCACTTGGGAGGCTGAAAACAGAAGAATCACTACGAGTCCAAAGCTACGTAGTGAGACCCTGTAGATCCTGCATTAAATAAATAAATAAGTTGATGGCATAGTGTTGTTTCCTTAAAAAAAAAAAAAAAAAAAAAAAAGCAAAGCAGAAGAAGCAATCCACTGGGTGCCGTGGAACGCACTTGTTATCCCAGCACTCAGGAGGCTGAGGCAGAAGATCACTTCAAGTTCAAGACCAGGGCTGGAGAGATGGCTCAGTGGTCTAAAGCACCTACTTGGAACAAGCTTGGCAAAGCACAGGGACCACGGTTGGATCCCCCAGCACCACATGCCAGCCAGCCCCACCCCCTGGTGGGCTGAGCTGGCCACACACATACAATAAATAAATGTAAAAAATAAATAAATAAAATAAGTCTTAAAAAAAGAAACAAAACAAAATCAAGTTCTGGCTTCCCGGAGGTGCTGAGCTAGGGTTTGTTGGAAGACTGAGGAAGACGGTGAAGAATGAATTCTTTCAAGTTCTGGTTTCCGGCCCTGGACACGGACGGACGGACGGACGGACGGACGGAGGGACGGACAGACGCTGTGGCCTCTGCTAGGGAGACTGGCAAGGGCAGCCAAGATTCCTACTAGCTCCACAAGCAGCACCTCCCCGGGAGGTCTGCACGTTCAGGGAGCTCCCCACACCCACACGCCTTTCTCCAAGGCGAGCCCAGCCACCAGCTGCACATCTGGAGCCCCACCCCACGCCCCTTGAGGTTCTAGGGGACCAGCCACACCCCCAGCTCCCAGCAGCTCCCTGCTCACAGGACCCCTAGATCCGCTGTCCAAGCCCCGAACTTAGAGGACTCCTTCCCGTTGGGAAGGGGATCCCGACCCTGGATCTGCCTCAGTATTCAGCTCTCAGCTTGGTCCTGGCTCTTCCAGCCCCCAGCCCATCTTCCTGGCCAGGCTGGCCAGCGCTGCCTCCTGGACGGGGATGAGGCCTCCCCTTCCCTGCCTGTCCTCGGGACTGGTGGGGAGAGGAAGATCAGGTAGGCCCCAGCCAGGCCCTGTGCGGTGCCTTTGTCTCCCCTATTCACGCCTCCCATGCGCTTTCCCTCCTCCAAAAGGGCCAGGGGTGGGGTCAAGGGGTGGAAGACGCTGCCGGGAAACCGTGGCTTAGAGCCCAGGAGTGCCACACCCAGAGGCCTGCCTGGAGGGAGGCCAGACTTCACTTTGCGGAGTCTGGGGACCCTTGCCCCACTCCCTGCTCCTACCCCTCCCTCCGGGGTCCTAAGCTGAAGAAAGACTCTTTTGCTAGGCCTGTGACCTCAGATCCTCAGCCTGGGCGGTGGGCCCAGACCAATTGTCCCGGCTGGTTCCACTGGCCAGGACACTGCCCAGCCCTGCCCCCATCAAAGGCCCCTTGAGCTCTGCGGCTGGCTCCCTGGTGGTCTTGCCACATGGCCTCCCGCTGGCCAGAGGACAGGAGTCTCCTAGAGTTCCCATGCCGTGCGGGCACGAAGGAGGCGGCTCCCAGCCAAGGCGCCCTGCATGTCTGGTCAGGCCCACTGGCCTGGCCGGCCGAGGTCAGAGCAGAGGCCGACGCGGCGGGGTTCGGGCGGGCGGGGCTGCCAACCTGTACCCCACCTGCCTGTCCTGGGGGTGCGGCACCGGGTACCCCGCACCCCCCCAACAGGCCCTAGACCTATCTTGTCTCAGTCTCCCCGATGTTCCTGAGCCATCCCTGCCGTCCCTGGACTGTCACCGCGTGCAGTGCCCGGCGAGACCTCCTCGCTCGCTGCTGGCCTGAGCGCCCAGAGCCAGTCCCTGTGGGCGCGCCGGGAAGCGCGGTGCATCTCCTGGACCAGGTCTCCGCTGGTCCCGACGCCAGAGTTTCCGTCCCTCGACTCCGCAGGTCGGGACGTGGGGACTCACTGGGCCAAAAGGGCGGGAAGAAGGGCACTGGGTAAGCGCCGAGGCCGCCCGGGATGCCCCCGCGCGCCCGGCACCCGACGCTGTGACTCAGCGGCGGAGGCGCTC